GATTTGTTGTAAAACTTCCATTTTATAAATCGCATTTGAAGTTGGGTGATTCAAAACCGGCAGCAATTTCTAGGTTGCGTTCCATGGAACGAAAATTCAAAGATAATCCGGAATTTGAAAAACAGTATAAAGATTTCATACATGAATATGAACAGTTAGGACATATGACTGTGATTAATGATGATTTATCTAACAGATCGGATACAGAAAAGTTTTATCTTCCTCATCATGCGGTCATTAAACCTTCTAGCACAACGACAAAATTAAGAGTAGTTTTTGATGCATCCTGTAAATCTGAAAATGGTATATCATTGAATTCTCTTTTAGGGGTAGGTCCGAAATTACAAAGAGATATTTTTGAGATTTTGATTAATTTTCGATTTCCTAAAATTGTTTTCACAGCCGATGTGGAGAAGATGTATCGTCAGGTGATGGTAGCCCCTGAAGATCAGAATTATCAATTGATACTTTGGCGATACAATTCCAGTGATAAAATGCGCACGTACAAGTTGAAAACAGTTACTTATGGTCTTTCCTCTGCTTCATTTTTAGCAACTCGATGTCTGAAGCAGGTAGCTTTAGATTCTAAAGAGGAATCAGATGTATCTCGTATATTGCAAGAGGATATGTATATGGACGACTTATTGTCGGGTGCAAATACAGTTGATGATGCAGTATCTGTCTGCAAGAAAATATCTTCAATTTTACATGCACGTGGTTTTGATTTGAGGAAGTGGAATTCAAATTCTGTAGAATTCTTAACTGAATTTAAGGAACATTGTTCATTGAATTCTGATTTTGAGATATCTCCTAATTCGAGTTCGAAAGTCTTAGGACTTTTTTGGAATTCAACTACTGATACCTTCAGTTTTAAAGCTACACTGCACATCAACGCACCTATAACAAAAAGACGCATATTAGCAGAATCTGCTCGCATTTTCGATCCTTTAGGTCTCTTATCTCCTTGCACTATATTGATTAAAATATTCTATCAAAAAACTATGGTTAGTTAAAGGCGACTGGGATTCAGTTGTTCCCCAGCATATCTCAGATGATTGGTTTAAATTTCAAGAGACATTCAGTCAAATCAATAATTGTGAAATTCCGAGATGTGTCATACTTACAACGGACAGTGTTATCCAACTACATGGATTTTCTGATGCATCTTCGCAGGCAGGCTTATGCAGCAGCCATTTACTGTCGCCAAAAAGTGCAATGGTACGGTACGGTTAAGGTTAATCTTTTGGTATCAAAGACTAAAGTCGCGCCTATAAAGCAAGTATCCATTCCTCGATTAGAACTCTGTGCTGCGTATTTGTTGACCAGATTAATGCGATCTCTATTGAACATTTTAAAGAAGTTTGATTTTGAAATCTTTGCGTGGACGGATTCCAAGGTAGTTCTGTCTTGGCTATCAGCTCATCCACGTAAGTGGAAAACTTTTGTGGCAAACAGAACATCTCAAATCATAGAAGTGATACCTATTAAACATTGGAATCATGTTCCCTCTAAACAGAATCCTGCAGACATTGCTTCTCGTGGTATTGAACCTCAACTCCTACCAAATTGTACTTTGTGGTGGAATGGTCCACCATGGTTGCGTCAGGAAGAGGAAAAATGGCCTAAATATGAATTAAAATCTGAAGATGATACTGAAGTAAAGGCCGAACAAAGATCTGATCCTATTTTTATTTCTCATATACGTGAATCGAATGATTTATTAGCTAATTTGTTCGAGCATTATTCTTCGCGTTGTAAAATTGTTCGTATTCTGGCTTACTGCCAAAGATTTATTACTAATTGCAAGAAGCATCATGTTACTCAGAACATTTCACGTAGTGGCATTAACTCCAGCTGCCTTATGCCGCTAACATTTCTAGAGATTCGAGTAGCAGAAAATTTCATTATTCGTTGGATTCAGAATCATTATTTCAAAGATGATTTACAATGTATTAAAGAAGAGAAACCTTTACCCAAGAAGAGCCAACTACGTTCTTTGTATCCATTCGTAGATAAAGATGGTCTCTTACGGGTGGGAGGACGTCTTCGAAATTCATCTTTAGCATTTAACATCAAACATCCTGTCATACTTCCTTCTCGACATAAATTTAGCGAATTACTAGTGAAAGAACTTCATATTACTTACCTTCATGCTGGTCCTTCTTTATTATCACACCTCATCAGACAATCTTACTGGATAATTGGAGGAAAGAAACTGATACGCAGTTGTGTCAACCATTGCTTAATATGTCATCGATTTAAAGCTGCTTCAAATCCGCAATTGATGGGTGACTTACCTGAACATCGTGTGACTTTGGAACGACCTTTTTACGCATCTGGTGTGGATTACGCTGGTCCTATTACCATGAAATTTAATAAGGGTCGTGGTTCTAAAACAACGAAAGGCTATATAGCTCTGTTGTATAGCTCTGTTTGTTTGCTTGTCGACTAAAGCTGTGCATATAGAAGCAGTCAGTGACCTGACGGCAGACTCGTTTATCGCTGCACTTAGACGTTTCATTTCACGTCGCGGTGCACCACGGCACATTTACAGTGACAACGGTACCAATTTTGTGGGAGCATGCCGAAAACTACAAGAACTAAATCAGATTTGGTCTTCCTTGTATGCAACGGAATCGGTTTCCCGAGAACTAACTAAGTCATCTATTGAATGGCATTTTATACCGCCTGCTTCGCCCCACTTCGGAGGAATATGGGAAGCCGGCATTCGCTCAGCGAAATTTCATCTGAGAAGAGTATTGAAAGAGACTCTTTTAACCTACGAAGAGTTGTCAACGCTACTTACCCAGATCGAGGCTATTTTGAATTCACGTCCACTTACTTACGTGAACGATACTGATATTGACTCTATAAATGTTTTAACCCCTTCTCATTTTATTACAGGTGATACTTTAACTTCCTTTCCAGAGACACATCAGACTGTTCGCACAAGGAGTTCTAGGTGGGAACTTGTACAGAATCTACGTCTGGGATTCTGCAAGCGATGGAAAAAGAAATATTTGACTTCTCTTCAGCAGAGATCCAAGTGGCAGTACAACAGACCCAATCTAAAAATCGACACGGTGGTTCTTATCATCGAAGATGGATCTCCACCTCTAGCTTGGCCTATAGGACGGATCATCGATGTCCATCCGGGCAAGGACGGCTTAGTTCGCGTAGCCACTGTCAAAACTAAAACTGGTGTTTTCAAGAGAGCAATTAATAAACTTTCACCTTTGCCTGTGTATCAGGACTAAACCTGATAGGGTGAGAGTATGTTCACTTCCACGCCTGTCGAAATTATTTCTACCTTTTCGTTGCCCTGCATTGGCAACACGCTTTTGAGATTTGTCATTCGTAGAATTCGGTCGCTAAAAGCATAGCTGACCTGTAACTGTTGTAATTATTATTTTATGCTTATTTGTACTGCTGAATTATTACTAAATGTTTACGTGTGAATGTTATATCATTAAATGTCTTCAGTTTGATTTAAAGACACCAAGAGTCTTGAATTTATTAAGTATGTTTGAAAACAAAACTGCGTCATCCATGTCGGCGCCATTCTAATACGTAAACAACTGAACAAGTAATGATGTCTGTCTATAGTATTCAATGAGAACGTATTAGCATAAAAAACGAAGCAAATTTTATAACTTACACTGAAATAAATGTCAAATAAATACATACTGAGCCTTTTATTATTTAAATTTTGATTGACTTATGATCATCTTACTAGATTTTAACTGATGATATAATATCTGAAAAAATCCCAAATCCTGAATCACCAAAAAAACAGGGAGGAAGGGAAAAAAAGAGAACATACATGATTCGTATTTTCATTTGTTATTTAACTGCATATGCTTTATCATACAAATTAATTAATTCCAGCCCCATGGTAATTACAAAAATGTAAACTGAATAAACACAACATGTTTCTGATTAAGACAACATGACAGCATGTTTTTAAGTAATCTTAAAAGTTTACACTTACAGTTCTTCTGGCAGCATTTATAAGCTACGACAAGAAAATATCTGAAACATGAAACACTACACAAAATTTACAGAACATTCCTAGAGATAGAAAAATGTAATTTTTAACACATAAACATCTTTCATTACATATTAATATTGACAAGTGTTGATTAAATATATTATACAATAAAACTAGAAAGTCCTTATGTGGGCTTTTCTTCGACTGTTGGGGAGAGAAATTTCCAATTACAAAAATTATTCATGCTTAGTATTTTTAAATTTTAAAAAGTAAGCTTTGTAAAAATCAAGATATCTAACCTTTATAGCCCCTTGGGCCTTGGATTTACATATACAAGAAGTTTATATTCATTCTAAAAAATAACAAAAAGTTTTAACTCCCATATAAAAAATAACCAAGATATCTAACTTCATAAGAAGCGAGTTAAAAATAAGCTAGGGTTATTTAGGTTCACCCCCCCAACCTAATGCCATTCAACAATAACTACTCATCTATATTTTCTAACCTTATGATTTTAATAGTTCAAATGTTAAATATGCTAATAATATTCACATGCAGTTTCTATTACTTTACAATCAAAATCTGACATTAATCAAAACAAAATCATGAACAGGAAATATTTTATTTTTAATTTATACAAACAAAGATATCAGCTAGCTATATACCAATACTTGAAACCTATCATAGTTTTTCAAAACAGGCCCGTCTAACGCAAAAGAGTGTGGGCAAATTTGGGAATGATTTTTATTCTGGTGGGCCAATTACATATAAATAAAAAATTTTTAAAAATTAGGTGAAAATTTAAAAATAGAATACTTTCATATTACAGTTTTTATTATTTTTGCTTTATTTACAGTTGTCATTAAATATAAATGCCAAAAGACAAATAATCGCATCATTTACACTTTTTTGTAATTGAAAGTGACCGACAACTGCAAAACTTAAGGCCATATAAGAACTTTCATGTACATAGTATATACAATTACAATATATACATAAGGTATCTTACCTGTCCATTTCATTTCCAATCCCCACTCATAGAAAAATATTAATTTTGCCTTTCGATTATTTACTACTGCATCACCATTACATTTAGTAATTTCAGTTATTTCACAGCTTGCTAGATAAAGAAAATAAAGTATAGGTGAGCCTTGAAATTTCATCAATTCAAATTGACTAAGCAAAACAAACTTGATCATAAAGATCTCTAGCAGCTTCAGCAAAAGTTCTGCCAGAAAACAAGCCTATAAATAAATGCAGATTTACACTTTTAGTTTAATGTACATCTTTTTATCAATGGCTTGCGTATCTATTTTACATCTTACATTTACAATCAGGATAATAATATACTAATTCCCATACCCAAGGTAATAATATATTATACTAATAATTCCCATACATTCACTTGTTTTGCATGTATGGGAATGTATTCTTCGAAGAATTTTAAATTAAGCACAGTATGGGAGTGGGGGATCTTGAAAAACATTACAGCAGCATATTCATGAACATTAATTTTGCTTTTCCAGGTAATGAGATATAGCTCAAGACTAGACAGATGACTCTGAATTTTTGAACCAGAAAATCCAATTGTGAGTATTGAATGAGGATGGCCTGCGTCATCTGCAAGAAGTGTGAGAGACACTATTTGGTATGTCATTAGTTAAGATACTGAAGGACCTTATAATGAAACCAGTATAAGACCACTGAAGATTGGACAGGGCTTTGAATTGACAGAATTAACTCATACAACAAGATCTATTACTGAGATATAAGTTATTGATGTGGATTAAATGAGCCCAAAATATGAGTCATGTGAGCTTGATTATAATTCCTACATGGCAAGTCCTATTAAATGCTTTGGCTATGTCTAAAAATAAAGCACCTGTAAGCATTTTATTGCAGAAGCCTTGGTGAAAATGCTCCACTGTCTAGAGCAACAGGTGCGTAGTAGTGTTTTTTAAACGAACCAAGCTATTCATTAATAAGGATATTTTGGTTCTGGAGAAAAACATTCAGGCGATCAAGCACTATAGATTCATATATCTTAGATAATGAGGATAGGAGATTGATTGGTCAGTAATTTTGAAGGTTAGAATGACACTGGCAAGGTTTTGGAATAGGCACTATTAGTGCACGTTTTCAGCTTTCCGGAAAATAGCAACGTAGTAGCGTAAAGTTAATTGACGTTATTACTGAAAATACAAATTTGGTAGAGATGTTTTTAATCACATCATTTGAAATAGAGTCCGATACAGGTGCTTTCTGTGATTTGAGATTAACTACATAAGTGCTAAACCTCTGAAAGCGAGAAGCATTGTAAGTCTCTCTTAACAGAATAAAACAGAAGTGGGTGAGACTTCATCCCTCTAACTTGCAATGAAATAAAGACCTTCTATGTATTATATAGACTAACAGCATAAATTAAGGAACCCAAAACTATTGATTCAAAAAATTTCTCATAAAAGCACCGATATTCAGAAGACCTGTCACGCCTTTCTTAAATTTATGGACACTAATCGCCATATGGTGACACTGGTCGTCTAAATGCTACCTGCCAGTCACTCGAGCTGGCTATCACAGTGGGACATTACCCAGCAAATCCAAGGGCGCTACCCCTGGGCTAATAGAGCCTCAATGCTCTAAGACTCGCCAGACCACAGGGCCGGCTAATAAGTGACCTTTCCGGGGCCTTCAGAATCACCAAGTTCAGAAATTTTATACCCCCATGGCCAAGATTGCCAAGGTACAGATCCTAGCCAGTAGCTTCGCAGAGTTCTCTACATTGACCCCTCCCCGGGGGGATACATAGGGTAAGATAAAGTAACCAAAAGAACATCTGAAAATGTCTTCATAAAATTATAAAAACATAAGACATTTTACACAAACAATGCAACTTACCCAATCAATTTTTAACTGTAAAAACAATATCGGGATGAAATATGCCAAAGAATATTATTTACAAATATTACAAAAAAAGTGACCATCCACTGAGAAACAGAAATGGCTAGAGACTGTCGAATGGAAAGACAAGCATGGTGAATATATTATTTCTACAAAAAGGAAAAGTAAATACAACTAAACAACAGAAAAAAGAAAAGAAAAATTGAACTGTGTTATTGAATACAATATTGTGGCACTGATTGCCCACATAAAATGCTAGCTTGTTTTTCTATTATAAGAGAAGTGATGAAGAGCTAGAGGGGTTTTTTTCAATGATATTTTTCAATATGTTTAACATACATAGTTTACAAAAATAAAAGATGAATTTTTTATTTATTACAAGAAAAAGGCAGTAGTAACTACCAAACAATAATTATCTTTTAGTACTGTCTAATAATGAAACTATTGCTTAACCTAGTAGTAAACTTTTCAAGATGTGGATAGCATTATAAGGAGATACACATTTAACATTACAGGTACATAAGATTCTTTTCTGAAACCATACGGGCACTGCTAAAACTTCTTTAACAATAGCACTTAAAATATATGCAAATAATTACAAATGAAACAAAATAAACTTGGGGATGCATAAAATGGTGAACGGGAATACATGCATCACTCTGATACCAAAGGTTCAAACACAATGCACAACAGACATTTTATTTTTGCATCAATTCTCCATCTAAAAAAGCATTTTCTAAAAACAAATAAAGGTACTTGCACACTATTGCAACCATCTTAGTAAAAGTAGCAAAATTTTCAGACCACGCACATAACCATTCTTCCAGGAATCACGCTCGTAACTATCGTTTCAGTCAAGCAACGCCATTTTCATATGCATTCTATTTTGTTGTATTCCAAGTTCAAATGGTTTTTATACACAAATCATGATATTTTTTGCCTTAAACTTGATTTTAAAATATGAATTTGTGGAATTCGCCAACAATGGAAGAAACTGCAGTAAAATTTTGGCAGTAATACAGAATTTTGCTAAAAAATTTTCTAAAGAAAGCAAAAAAGAAATGTTCTTTCCAGATAGTCGATGTTGTCAAAATTTGCATGAAGAAGAGTCTTCGCAATTCACCAATTTTTTTTTAAGTGAAAACAGATCGTTGTGTACTTTGGGGGGGGGAAGAGATTTGTCAGAATGTGTTGAATTTTTTTAATATATGACATAATTCTTATTTAATAATTCAAATTCGTATTTTAAATTGCTAAAGTACGTCCCCCCCCCATGTTGATATTGTTTCCCAAACTTACTTTAAATATTGATAATTTGGGATTCTCTAAAAAAAAAAAAAAAAAAAAAAGGTGCAAAAACCACCAACTTGCACATGCTAAGTAACTTTTACATTTTCATCTGTAAAAAAGCACCAGATTGTGGCAAGAGGGTTGCAATAGTACGCAAGTACCCAAATAAATACTTTTGTTGTTTCTAATCCCCTTGATCCGAGATAATCTCTCAATCAAGTGCATGAACTCCTCGTGGCCAACAGGTTATGAGTACCTATCAGTAGCCCATCTGCACAGGGTGGCAAAACATCTGTAATTTAGAAGGGTGGCAAAATGTCTAGAATTTAGAAGGGCACCAACCAAGTGATGGAACTTAGAAGATATAAAGACCGCACTAGGCAACAAAACGCTTAGTACCAGCCCTCCATCCTTTCACTAATCCCCTTTGAAACAAACAACTATGACCATCATCAACAAAGTATAGACACAATATTATTATTTTTATTATTTACAAATTAAAGGTTATTTACCAAAAATTTACAAAGTTGGGAAGGTGAAGAGACAGATTATCAACTTCAAAATGAACACAGACTGTAATAGCATTAAAAAAAATTACTTTTAGGGCCATTTTAACACAACACAGCTGCTCAGTCACGAAATTTAAAAAAAAAAAAAAACACTAAAAACATTATATAAATGCAAAAATTTTTTCAAAGAAATCTGCTTCATAAGTAAGGCTATATAACAAAAAAAACGTAGAAAAAAAAAGCTTTAACAAACATTGTACTTTAAACAAACCACATAGCATTAATGATTAACTACTTTGTTCCATGAAAAAAATTATTTTTCAGTTACAGTAAAAGAAAGCAATGTAATTCTGATTTATAAAGCACATACAATGCTTTGGGGTGTGGTAGTCGTCATACTGCACATTTGATGATCTTTTAGACAATGCTACCATAATTAGTAGTATCGAAATAAGGTCTGAAAAGTACTACCTATTTCCAGAAGTGGTTATTTGAGGAAGGAGGTTGCTTTAAGATACCAAGTAAGAGGTATCAACTTTAAAATATACCAGAACACACCAAAACATACAGTGATAAAAGCCAAAGCTGAAACATAAAAGTGCTAGGTCAAGCAAAACAAGTAAGATGCAAACAAACAATGGCCTAGAAGATGAAAAAAAATGAAACAACTTTAATCATGAATAATTAATAACTGCTCAAAACACCAATCACCAACACCCAAGGCTGTGGAGGAACTGACGCACAAAAATTAAGGGTAGTCTCATAAACATGGCTCTTGAGATATCCCAACAAAAAAAAAAAAAAAAAGAAAGAAAGAAAGAAAAGAAAAAAAAAAAGAAAAGAAAAGAAGATATGGCAAATTGGACAATCATAACAGCTTCAAAGTAAAGAGTACTTGATCCGGAAAGTAGAAATCTAGCTATTTCCTTCTATCAAACGGAGGAGTAATATGTCAATCTAAAAATAAAGCAAAAAGGCAACTTCAGCTAGATGTAGATTTTGACTAAACCTATCAATTTGGGCAGCAATTATACATGGCCACCTCTTCAAGAGCAAAACAATTTTTGCAAAATCGGAGAAGCAACAACTGTTTTCATACTGAAATCAATGGGCACAGAAAGGGAGTACGAAAGAGCACCATCTATTAAGGAAAAAAGTAATGAAATGTAAATTTTTAAATAAAATGCAGTTCCCTATTGACATTATTTTTTTAATCTAATATGGTTTAAGCAGCACTTCTTTCAAAAATGGCCATTTGAATTAAAATTTTAGAAAACATCTTTCTCTGGAAAAAAATTCTTAAAATTACATGCTATGAAAGAGGATCCCATAAGTCATCAGTTGGCCATCACTGATCAGGTTTGCCACTCACACAGATGACTTTTTCAGGTTTCTTACATGAGTTTTAAAAAAATTCCAG